CCTTTTATGATAAAGCGATGACTTGTCCTTCTTTTACTTTTACTTTTTCTTTTCTTCTATATTTTCTTTACTCTGTTACTGTCTTTTACTTTTCTCTCTTTTTCTTTATCTTGGTCTCTTCTTTACTTTCCTTTTTAATTTTGTCAATAAATCAACTATCCTCACATTTTCCTTTTAATTTGATTTATCTTTATCTTTTGAACTTTAATAATGGATATATCATCATGAATTGCACTATCGCGCATGTGAAGGTGGAAAAGTGATGATGATATATAATTTTAATCTTTTTCTTTCTTCTTTCTGGCAAAATAATTATTGAGAACCATTTGGGCCTATTATATGGGCTTGCTAAATATACCTATAAATATACCAGGGCAAAGGAAAGCCAGCCTATTCCCTTTGGGTATGGGTTTTAAAATAGTGTTTTTAAAGATATAATAAAGGGGCTTTACAAGAGGTAAATATAGAAGAATCTATATATTGGCTATAATAATAGAGAAAATTCACTTTATAATAAAAAGATCCCTAGCAGATTATTTTATCCAAATATACTAATTATACTTGTTTATAAAGGCGTAATGAGGATACTATTAAAATAATCATGTTTTAACAAATCATTTACATATAAGCTACTAAGTATGTATCTATTGAAAGCATTGGATTTTTGGCAAATCCACAGCCATTACGGAATTTGATATTCTTTACCGTCACCGTTTGAGACGGAATAGCCATACAATAGCCATACCATGATCGGGTATGATCGCTTTTAGGTTTAGAAGCCATACCTGACTCTTCTGTGGAAGAAGAGGTTATACCTTGTCATTCCTTTACGAAGTCCTGTTGATGATTTACTATGCAAGGGAAGTGTTTAAGAGGAGTTTAGAGGTTGGGAGAACATGTATCCCGGCTTCCTTTCCAAGTTGCTGTAAGAATTCAAGAGAGTCCAGTATACAAGACAAAAATATTGTAACAAAAGACAAAAGTTTAATATACCGATATGTATCAGAAAATGTCCAAAAATACGTTATAAAAGGATATGAATATTTTATTGTTTAAACTTTTGAATACGGATTTTTACTAGAAATACAAAGATAAAAATATTTTATTCGGATGAACTGGTTGTTGTTTCGAGTTTATCAGATTCTATAAACTCAGAGTCTGAAGTGTCTGAATCAAGATATAATTTATGAATTTTTATTAATATTTCTTTATCTAATTTTAATGCATTTAATTTTTTGTTAAATCGACAAAATTTAGAAGTATGACCATTGTTACCACAATGAAAACAAGTTAAATCTTTAAATTAAATCTTTAAAAGAAGTTTTACCTGAAGATTTATGTGGTTGTTTCTTTTTAGGAGTTTCAGATTTATCTGAAGATTTATAAGATGAAGATAAATTTGATATAGAACACTGACCACTACAAGGTTTGGTAGAAGTCATGTCATAACCAAATTGTTTACAAAAAGATCCTAATCCTTTTTGAGTTTTACTCATTTCAGATTTTAAATTTAATTGAATCTTTAAATCATGACAGATTTGTAATCCTGCCTTTTGAATGATACTAGTTAATTGACCATAAGTCAATGTATCATACGGGATTGGATTACCAAACTGTTGTTTTATAGAATTCCGAATTTTCTCGCCTAAGTAGAAAGGTAGTCCAGCTAAGAACTTCTCTTTCCAAAAGGCTTGGTTTGAATCTTCCCTTAACATTAATCTTGTAAGGAAAGTGGTTTTATATTCTTGAAAATCACTTAATTGATTTGAATCTTCCCTTAACATTAATCTTGTAAGGAAAGTGGTTTTATATTCTTGAAAATCAGTAAGTGAAGATGGATCTTCCTATAAAAATGTAATGAAAATAGGTGAGAATTAAAGATGACACAGCATCCTGAAATTACATCACCATTCTCTTATCATATACGGTTCACTAATCATCAATTTATTTGAATTTATTTAAAATTTCCTTCACCGTTGTTGGTCAGTTAGGTGATAAACCCACCAACCTTTAAGTTGTCCAGTAACATCCCGCAATGAGGATTTCTGCTATACTTTATCAGAAATAGTTTGAACTGGGTTTTTATAAGCATTTGCAGACATTGTCATTTGTTGGCAAAATACTTAATATATTATATTCAACTAAACCATCTATGTTTCCATTCATAGAGTTGTTGAAGCCATTAATATTAAATTGAGACCAACGAATTAGGTTTAATCAAATAATTCCTAAGTCTGGTACCTTATTTACTATGCATTAATGGCAGTTATATGGTTTAAATATCAAATCTTTTAGCATCTTGTTTGAGTCAGGTTCACTAACATTCACTAACATTAGAGTTGGTGTTTTCTTCTATCATATTTATGTTCCTTGATTCTTGAGAAGTACTAGGAACTTCAATTTTACTTAATTGTTCTTTTATTATTGGTTTAGAATCTGTGTTTAATTTATTTTGTAATCGACAAAATTTTGACTGATGGCCTTGAACACCACAGTTATAACAAATTGAATTTTTAATTTTATTTGATTTCTTTCGTTTAGATTTTTCTTTCAAAAATTGACGAAATGTGGGATTCAATTTACAAAACTTGGATGTATGGCCTATCTTATGTATGGCCTATCTTACCACACAAAAAACATACTATAGTTTTATAGTCAAGTTTATTGATTTTAGGATTGGCTGTTTGACTATTAGAGGTTTGAGGAATGTTCATAGCTACTGGTTGAGTAGTGTTAGATTGAACCTCAAGTTTACTTAGTGAATCTTTTAATAGACGAACTAATTCATTTTTAGACTTAGATTTACAGATTATCTCTTTAAAATCAGGTTTTTTAGTTCTTTTACGACTTGACTTTAAACGTTTATTATCTTTATTATCTTTAATTAATGTATACCAATCAAAGAATGATATACCAGTATGATTTTTTAATCTATAATTGAAATATTCGAAATATTCTCTTTTTAATTCATCAATTTAATGTGACTTTTATGATCTTATTTTAAAATTCTATTAAATTTAAAGGTTGTGTAATTTCTTTTTATAAAATCTGTTTTAAATTTCTTCTTGTTTAAAGAAATTTTAATGATGTTTAATATGTTCTTTTTTCATTTTAGAAATATGTTTTTTATTCATTTGGAAAATGTTTTTCATCATCAATAAGCTTTACCAGTATTTTGAAAAATTTAATTCATTTTTTTTGAAAATTATCCTATTAGTAATCTGTAGAAACATTCATTTTAAATTATTACTGTAGAATTAATATAACAAAGGATCCATTTTATGCTAGCCAAATAAGCTGGCGGTCAGTGCCTTATACTTTAAGTTTGCGGTCCTATGCTTGAAATATAACGCTTGATGCCTTGCCGATTATACCCTTAAACACGCCTAATCACAATCGGACTAAACAACGGGTTCACAAATGGCAATATAGGATGGTAAACAAATGGCCGACCCAAAACCTTAAAAAGTTCAATCGGGCATACCCAACACTTAATTGGATACATTCAAATGGATTTACTTTATTATATCATTGAAATTGAACTAATAATGTTTAAAACAAACACTACAGAACACAAATGGATAATTTAATTAGTAATGATGTTTTAATAAACTGCTAAGATGATGATAAACACTATTTAGATCGTTTGGCTCTGATACCAACAAAATGCCTCCTAGCGGTCTCCCATAAAACCGTGGATATTTCAGCGACCATCCTCGGTACCTCAGAACATGTTTTACGGCACTTCACATTTCTTTTCTTTGATTTATCTTTTATCTTTTGACTTTAATAATGGAATATCATCATGAATTGCACTATCGCCATGTGAAGGTGAAGGTGATTATGATAATATAATTTTATCTTTTTCTTTCTGCCAAATATTATTGAGACCATTTGGGCCTATTATATGGGCTTGCTTGCTAATATAGGCTTGCTTGCTAATATACCCATGCTAATATACCCATAATATACCCAGGGCGAAAAGAAGCCCAGCTGGATTGTTCGAGTATGGGTTTTAAAATAGTGATATTAAACAATTTAATCAAACAACGTCTTTACATATATGTATTTTAGTTATTTAAAAATCAAATTTGATTGAACTGGTTGATCCAACTAAATCCATTTGGCTTTAATCGGTTTATGGTCAAACTCGGCCGATTCATTTAGTCAACCATCCCTTGGTGTATGATAACTAAAACGGAAAAACTAATAAGTTTCAACCAGAGTCCAGGTTTGAAAACGCATGGTCTTAGCATTCTACCGTCGTCTATTGAGCAACTTGCTCAATGATATTATTTGATTATTATCGCTATGTACGCATTTGAGACTATCATACTCTCTCCGCTCCACCAAGTATTTGATAATTTCCCATTTCCTGTGAAAGAGAATAATAAACCTTTTCTCATGGATTGTCATATAGCGAGAGAGGGTCCCATTTAGCTAAGCATAGCACATGCTCCCACTTCAAACTTGTTCGCTTTCTTGTTTGACACACTGAATTTTATGCACTAATCTTATATCGAAAGACAAAAATTTCATTTATAATATTAACGCAAAACAATATTTGAGAATCGATATATTCCCACATAAGTATTTTCCATTTAATTAATAGTTGAAAAGGACGCTATTTATGTTTATATCATAAATTCAAATCTTAAAATAATATTTTTTTATATTTATTAACAAAAATTTTCACTATTAAGATTTGAATTATATAAATAAATTGTCCATTTTATAGTGTAATTTTTGGATTAAAATTTTAATACATATCCGCCCAGCCACATGTAGTGAAAGCAAATATTTAGATTAGTTGTTTTATTTTATTTTTTAATTAGCTTGACTTGAATTTGGATTTATAACTTTATAATCATAAAAAGTGTCTTTTTATTTGATTTTACTTTAATATTGTTCTCAAAAGTTATGGAAATGTCCCAACGCTAAGTGATAAGTACATGCCTAAAGAAAATCTCCCTAAGAATTATTTTGTTTTCACTTGTTGCGTCTTTCTTACTTCTATTCTATAGCTGTCTTTTATTGTCAATTATTGGTGTCGAAGGAATGTCAGGAAACCTTTTGAGACTCACTCCTCTGCTCCAATACCAAACTCATCTGTTCTCCAAGAAATGACTTCATTACATCATTTGCTGTCTCAAGAAGGATTTGAACGTACAAATAAGTTGTTTAAAACTGGCAGGAAACAAGTGAAGCTCAGTGATGAATCCAAATCACTACCTAAATACATTTGCCATGATATAAAAAGCGAGAATTCCTTCAAGAACTTGACTAGAAGAGCAAGTTCTGATTCGAAGAGAATTGACGGATATGAACCTGCAATGTCAATGGATGAAGTTGCTGTTAGAGCTGTTATATCAATACTTGGTGGGTATATAGGAAGGTATGCAAAAGATTTGCATTTCCGGAAAATGATTCGAAACAAGTGCAATTCTTGCTTAGCAAGAAGAACAAGGAAAGATTTGGATGATGGGATGTTCGCCAATATGGAGTTGGGAATAGAAAGTGTTGATAAGTTAATTGAAGATCAAGGAACAAGAAAGGAATTGAAAATGAAGTCATTAAGGAATTCAATTCAGCTATTGACTGTTGTTGCTTCTTTGAATTCTAAAAAGTCAAGAAATGCTTCTACTTGTGGAATTCCCAATTCCCACATCTCAGCTTGTGCTCAATTGTACTTATCTATTGTATACAAGTTAGAGAAGAATGATAGAATATCTGCTAGGCATTTGCTTCAAGTGTTCAGCGATTCGCCTTTTTTAGCAAGAACACATTTGCTTCCTGATCTTTGGGAGCATTTCTTTCTTCCTCATCTCCTTCATCTTAAGATTTGGTATAACAAGGAACTTGAAATCCTTTCAGATTCTCTTTGTCAAGTGGTTGATAAGGAAAAGAGAATGAAAGCTCTGAGAAATGCCTATAATAGCCACATGGATATGGGAACCATTCAGTTTGCTTTGTACTATAAAGAGTGGCTCAAAGTTGGAGGAAAAGCTCCATCTGTTCCTGCTGTGTCTTTGCCATCTGGACATAGTTATGCAACTTCAAGAAGAACATCAGCAGATTCTTTTACTTCCTATTCTTCTATCAACAAAAAATTGTAAGTTATTATTGATCTCCATATTAGTTTGCAAAATAGAATGCTTGGCAAACAAATAACTCTCAATCTTTACATTTCATTTGAAATATTAGTCTGTTAATTATCTTAATTTTGATTGTTTCATGTGATTATTTTTTTCTTCTTCCATTAGATACAGAGCTGTGTTTGGCCACATGGCCGAGCACCAATCATTGGAGGTTAATAGTCAAAATAAAGATTCAATGGATGTATGGGATCTAAAACAAGAAAAGGTATGCGTAGAAGAAATGTACCTTTTTTCTATACTATATTCTTTTCAAAGTTGAATATTAATCATCAATAATTTTCTGCATTTGACAGATGACTCATCGAAGAACATCAAGTGATAATTCTATAGTTCCAAAAAAACAACTGTGGCATCAGACACCAAAATCAGACTTTTTCAGGTTCTTATCTTGCCAGAGTATAGTATCAGAATGCTGGGTGAAAGGCAATCATATAGTTGGAAGTAGCTCAATTAAGAACACTGAGCTTGCTGATATACCATTGAGCGATCTAAGTACGGCTATTTCTACTATATGCTCTTCAGATAGTCTGACCGACTGTGAAATTGCTATTCGTGTAATAACCAAAGCCTGGTTAGACTCTCAAGGTAATCCTGTCGTTGAAGATGCTTTATCAAAAGCTCCGGTGATTGAAGGAATGCTTGAGGTCTTATTTGCTTCTGATGATGATGAAATTCTTGAATTGGCAACATCAATCATAGCTGAGTTTATATCAAGAAATGAAGCAAATAGACTAATAATACTAAACTCCGATCCGCAGCTTGAAATCTTCATGAGACTTTTGAAAAGTAGTAGTTTATTTCTTAAAGCAGCTGTTCTGCTATACCAGTTGAAGCCAAAAGCAAAACAGATGATATCAATTGAGTGGGTAACATTAGCACTTCGAGTTTTAGAATTCGGAGATCAACCGCAGACCCTATTTACTGTGAGATGCATACCTCAAAAGGCAGCAATGTACTTTCTAGACCAACTTCTAACAGGATTTAGTGAAGATAGGAACTTAGAGAATGCTAGCCAAGTTGTCTCCCTTGGAGGACTGAGCTTGCTTGTGAGGATTTTTGAGAAAGGAGACATTGATGAGAGGAATAATGTTGCTATGCTTATGTCTTGCTGCATTCGAGCCAATAGTAGCAGTAGGAATTACTTGGCTGACAATTTGAATAAGACTGCTCTTCTAGAGCTCATTGCTTTTGGAATCCAAAACAAGTCTACTGGATCTGCTTTTGCTTTACTAACCGAGCTGCTATGCCTTAGTAGGTATGAATTTTCTCTTCCTTTATAATTAATACTTTTTATGATGTTTATTTGTCTTCTAATAAATTTACGGAAATGCTAGCAGAAGAACGAAAATGATAAAAATCTTAACCGAACTTAATAGTGGATGGGGTGGCTTGAATACCAAACACATATTTCTAGTCTATCTTCAAAGGTCTTTGCCAGAAGACCGACCCCTGGTCGCAGCAATTCTGCTACAGCTTGATGTTCTTGTAAGTCTATTTCTTTCTTAAGTTAAGTAATGGCTAATGCATTATTATTTCCTATTGTAGATTTTTGAAATTTTGTTAAAAAAAAAAAAAAAAAAAAAAATTCTTAAGTTAAGTAATGGCTAATGGCATTATTATTTTATTGTGTTTAAAAAAAAAAAAAAAAAAAAAAAGTGAACTAGTGCAATCAATATGTATTCAGTAGTAGAAATGTTTGCAGGGAGATCCTTTGAAGTCCAGCTTATATAGGGAAGATGCAGTAGAGGCAATTATAGACGCTTTGAATTGTCAAAATTGTAACTCAAAAGTTCAAGAACAAACAGGAAGAGCCCTCTTGATGCTGGGAGGTCATTTTTTGTATCCAGGAAAGGCAAAAGCAGAAGACTGGCTTTTATATGAAGCTGGTTGCCATGAAAGATCAATGGATTTATATTGCAGCAATGAAACAATGCATGGAAGCTTGGTATGATTTAGAAATTATTAATTTCTTGTTGATTCCCAAACTATGGTTGGTTTCTTATATTCTTTGAATAACTCTAACTAGAATGAAGAGGAAAAGGCACTAGAAGATTGGCAAAAAAGACTAGCAATTGTCTTGCTTAATACTGGCAACAAGAGATTCCTATCAGCCCTATCCAATTCCATAGCAAATGGAACACAAAATTTAGCACAGTCAAGCCTCTTCACTGTTTCATGGCTGAATAGAGTTTTGACTTCTGTTGAAGATGAAACATTTCACTCAGCACATAAAGCACTTGTCACAGAATTTCCTCCTGTTCCATTGAAGCATCTCATAAAGAGTTCAGGTATGTTATACTTTGAGCTCCTTTCTTTCTTTTTTTTTTTTTTTTTTTTTTTTTTTTTTTTTTTTTTTTGGGTTTAAAGTGAATTTCACATATAATTTCCTCGGATTATTTTCCCCCAAGGAGGTAACTAAAATTGTGCTTTTGTAAAAAAAATTTGCAACCTTAATTCCCAAAATAGAAACAATGTAGACCTTACATTAAAGTTATGCCAATAATTTTGAACTTGAAAAATACATTATATTAGATGAATTTTTTTTTTTTTTTTTTTTTTTTTTGGGTTTAAAGTGAATTTCACATATATTTCTCGGATTATTTTCCCCAAGAGTAACTAAAATTGTGCTTTTTGTAAAAAAAATTGCAACCTTAATTCCAAATAGAACATGAGACCTTACATTAAAGTTATGCCAATAATTTTGAACTTGAAAAATACATTATATTAGATGACATTTTGTGTGAAAAAGATGCCTGCACAAGCGGTACAGATTTGTCATGTGTAATGCATTAAGTTTTGTTCGTAGGTTCCCTTTCTTATCGGTTATATTGTTGACAGAATGTGTATCTATGCTTTCAACATTGGATAAAGAGTTGATTGACCCTCTTCGAAACCTTCCGTGACATGGACAGCTAATCAGCTCATTATTTCAATCAATCAAAATGCAGGTAAAGTTTATGTAATAATGGTTGTCAGTGTAAATTGTAAAAATTTATGTTAGAGATATTCTCTTTACTCATCAATTTTGTATATCTCAATGAAATTATGTTAGAAATTTGTAATTTTTGTAAATCAAATGACAAGAGCATCTTAAAGTTTCAGAAATGAATATTGGGTCCCCCCAAGTTTGTCTTTGGCATTGTTTTACCTCTGCTCTATCTAGTCTAGTTAAAGAGGGAAAAGCATGGACTTGCCTGCATCCAAATTTAAATTAAGTTCTTTAGAATTTAAATTTATTGCTCTCATATAAATGAATAGAGTCGTGATTTTTATTTTTATTTTTCTTCTTTCCATTTTTAGAATGTTCAAGAACTTTGAGCGAGCCATAACCTCTCAAAGGTGTTCCGTTACCCAAGTCAATTCATGAGTTTTCGTAAAGCCACAAATGTTGATAGGTATAAACCTGTGAAAAATTATAGGCCATTGTCAATTGAGCTGTGTTTGGGAAGGAGCAGTGAGGATTCATCTTCTAATATTGGCTGTCAAAAATATTCCGTTGCCCTTTATCTTCAACACAGGGAAGTACACATTCAACGATCAGCATTGGAAGGTTGTTAATATGTAATTATTTGGATTGGCTAGAACCGAAAAGGACTTGTCACCCTCACTATCCAACAATGCCACCTCAAGTCTTTCAGCCAATTTCTGCAAGCGTCACAGTCATTACAATTGGTTTTCATATAAGGCCAATTACATGAGTTTTTAGCGGTGTCCTCTAGTGAAAAGAATAATTAAAAGAAAAAAGAAAAAGCATGTAACTCCAATAAAAAGAATTGCAACCGTACCCGCGAATTTCTTTATCCTTCTTGTTTTTATTTTTATTTTTCAATTAAAAAAATTATTATTAAAATCTACTTTATCATTCTTATTTATATAAACCTAGTTTTACTTTCACATAGATAAAAAAAATTATTAATATTGTTAAACTATATTTTTGTTTAGTTTTTTTTTTCTTTTTTTGAAATATTGTTTAATTTTTTCTTAAAGTGTCGGTCTGCTAATATTAAATAATTCATTGTATTTGGTTAAGTTGAGAATACAAATATAGGTATATTAAAACATTAAGTAATAAATAATCTTTTAAAAAGAATAAGTTATATTTTGGGACAATTAAAACAGAAAAGTGAATTTATGTATATGAAATAGAAGAAATATTTATTTTTATTATTCAGTATTTTGAATAAGTTATTATTCGTACATTGAGATTTGACATTTTATAATCCTAGTCATGCTGGAATATGAATTATACAAACTTCAAGGTTCAAAAAAAATATATATATAGTCCTTTTGATTTTGAAGTGATTTTTAATCCTTAATTATTAGAAATCGTCACAGAGCAGAGTTTGCAATATTCATATTCGATTTGCCAACACAAATTAATATTCATTGGATATCTGTTTCGCATTCAACTGGAGCAATTTCAGTTTCGGCATATATATACAAGAGGAAAGACTAAGTAGTCGTTCTCTTTTCAAAATTTTATATCCTCTCAAAAAAATTTTCCCTAAAAAGTCTAAAATTTCTCAAAAAAAAAAGAAAAAAAAAGTCTAAAGAACAACTATGACTGTGAGAAAATTTGAGAAATTTTTCAGAATTTTGAGAAGATCTAGGTTTGGGAAAATTAAAAGTTCTTTTGATGTATGAGCCTATTTCTGATTTTTTTTAATTATAATTAATTGTGAAAACTTATTAATTCAAGAGGAAAGACTAAATAGTCGTTCTCTTTTCAAATTTTGAAGACTAATTTACATTTTTAAAATAATAAGGCTAATATATTAGATCACATTAATTAACTATTTAGTACTTTCAAGGGGAAATATATTATTTTAAGGGCAATAAAAACCAAAAATTAGAAGCACAAATAATACAAAACAACATCATTAAAAAGAAAATATAAAATGGACCACAACTATTAATCCATCCAAACATTATTTGAGGAATCTAAGAAATGGACCACAACTTATTAAAGAAAATAATATTATTTCATGTGAAGACAAGTTACATTTAAACAGCTAGAAAGTTTACCACAAATAGGTGGAAGTTCAACTCTTTTTGTCTTTATTGTCTCTTCTTATGTTTATTGTCAATATGACAATAAGAGAAAATACAATATGACAATAAGAGAAAATAAAAAGATAACTCTAAATAATACCGTTGGAAAGAAGAAATAATTATGCAAGTAGACTTTTCGATGCCCAATGTTAAATAGTTAGAATCCCTTCGAAATAGAGAACAAAGAAAATAGATTTCCTTTTTTTTTTCTTTTTTCTTTTTTTTTAAATGTGTTTCCACCCTCACACTGGAAGTGGTATCTAGATAAAATCCTCTAAACAATAGTAATCAGATTTGAATCCTTGATCTTACATGTAAAGTTTGTCAGAAAATACAGTCTATTATCATTTATCTAAACTATTTATACTTTAATAATACTAAATGAAATATTTATAAAAATATATTAGAATTATTTTGATAAAAATAATGCTGCAATTGCAAGCATTTAATTCTTATTTGGTCAATTTTCTATCCCAAAATATAAGTCTTTTTTTGTGCTTATCTTGTCCCAAAATATAAATCGTTTTGATTATTTTTAAAGAGTAATAAATGGTGTTTTTCTAATATTATTAGAAACAACGGATTACAAGTAACTATAGATTTTTAGATAAAGAATAATTTAGTCAATCTACCCTTGATTTTGTTATAATTTAGGAGAATTAACTGTTTCATTAATCCTTATACAGAAACCTTAAACGATTTACATTTTGGTACAGAGAGAGTAATGTAGTTATAATTATGAGTTTCATTTTGCATTAAAGCATTGTCTTTAGATATTTATGGTCAATGTTCTCCTTATTATTGGACGATGATTAGAGCTGTTGAGATTGATACATATTATGTCCTTTTCTTTATAAAAGGAAGCAGCTGCTCTCATAAACTGAGATATATGTGATATATAAAACTGGTAAATAAGTGCTTGTTATTCAATAAGTCCACTGAATTGACCTGCATGAGAATTTTATATGGACAGTTACCTGTGTCTATGGAATTCCCTCAAGTAATGGTTGTATAGGTGATCATTTGACTTATGATTAAGCTATCTTGTATAGGGATAATTATATTTTGATCTTCATTCACATTATTCATTTATGGATAATGAGCAATGATGAATTAAACATAGTATCAACTATATGGAGATGCTTGTGTAATTAAAATAGGATTCATCACCCTAGATAAATTAGGGAAAATGTTCTAATTGTTCTCTATTAGTATTAATTATTAAGAAATCTTTATGCAGGGTAGAATGAAATTAGAAAATTAGATTTGGAATTTCATTCAAATAATCAATAGCTATGATTAAAACAACTAACATGATTTAGTAAAGCAGACACAGTCCATGCCTAATTACTAAATCAGAACATTAAGGGTGAAGGGATATTAATTACATTGATAAATCATGAACTAAAAGTTTAAGTCAAACCACTTTGACTTTTCAAATATTTAGGTAATCATGGCATGTTGTTAGACAATGTTCTTAACCTTCAAATATTAATTAATTTAATTTAATTTGTTGCCAACATATTTGGAACCTAATAGGCCATACACATAAGAATGAATATGAGAAAGTAAAAATGAGAAATCAAATCAAATATGACTTAATTACAAATAAGTTTTGGGACTTTAAGGGTGAAATTGTAATTTATATCTAATTGCAATTTTACCTAAATTATTAAGTATTGACTTAGTTAATTTATATCTAAAATTTATTGAGATAAATTTTACATCATATATAAACCTAATATTTTAATTATAATTGTAACACCCTCTCTCTGACCCCACAAGGCCAGATAGGGAGTGCTAACATTTTGTGCCGGAGGAACGTACGTGCTTGCTTATTAGTATAAAACTAATGTCAAATGAAAATATAACATAATAAATACAAACTGAGTTTGTAATTCTTTAAAATATATAGTAGAAGTCTTAAAGACATAACCTAGTTAAAACAATTCAATTATGAATATCAAGGAATTCAAATCTTTAAACAAAAGTGGTGTGAGGCCCCTCCTGAGCGCCATGGGAAAGATCCAAAGGATGGAGTCAATCCAAATGGGCCCATTAGTCAGTTTCTTATGGAATGGTGAGGAAACTCATCATGGTTTCTCTTTGTCTGGTTGTGGCTCAGTTTTAGCACTTAAGTTGTCAGTTTTAGCGCTAGGAAACTCCTCATGTGTTTAATGTTGCCAACTTACTTTATTTTTATTTTCGAGAAAAGTATAAGGTAAAAAGCCCATATTTGACTCCATTTTGAATTTGCCTCAAGGATAAAATGCAATAGCCTCGAATCATTATGTTCGAGGACTAGGTTTTTAGCTTTTTTCACAGAATCAATGGTTTGAAATTAATCGTATAATCAAAATATTGGTTTTGTATGAATTTTAGATTATTGATGCATGAGCACACTTAGATGCATGGCAATATTAGAAATATAGAGCATTAAAAGCATAAATGAGTAAAATAGTGCAATTCAGAGGGGAGCCCGACTCTAGCCTCATTTTTTGAGGATTATAGGTCGTGTTACACATTCCCCTAGATCCTAGCCTGTCTGTTTGGTTGGGGCCCACTACCTAGGCTAAAACCCTATATATGACTTTATACTTCATTTGAATGAGGATCAGGGTGCATGAAGTTCTACCATCGATTAGGATGGTAGGATTGCGATTCCATTCTTAGAATGGGCTTACGATTTGCTGGACGGACCGGTTTAGGTAAAACTGATTTTGCAGTGTGCACCGGGCTTAAATCATTTTGCGTGCTGGATAGATTAGGCTTTGGGTGCTGGACGGACTAGGCTTTGATTGAAAATTGTTTTTGTAGTGCGCGACATAGACTAGGCTTAAATCATTTTTTGTGCTGGATGGACTAGTCTTGACAGTTTATAAGGTGTCAAATGGACTATGCTTTAATTGACAAAGATCAAGTTTGAGTTTTATACCCTAGCTCGTGAGGTAAAAAAGTTAGGTGGTGCAAGCGTTCGGTTAACATAGCTCCATGATGTTAAACGGTCAAAAAGACGGAGTCTTTTCTCCAATAAGCAAAGGATGGGCGCGAGGGCCCAATTTTAGTCTTATATTATATATTTAATTAGCTTTGGACCAAGAAGGACCAAAGTGTATATGAAAATAGAAAGGACCAACTTTTGAGTACCAAGTCACATTTTGGCTCCATTGAGGAAAAAGAGTAAAATCAGACTATAAAGCCTAAGAAACGTTCGCATGAGGGAGAATTAAAGTCGTTGAAGCTTGAGAAGTGCTCGATCAAGCAACAAGAGGTGGTGAAAAAATGAGGAGGAGAGCCATATTTATAGGCCGAGCTCCCCCTGGCCGGTGCCGGCAGCTTCTCTGCCAGTACTGGTGTTCCAAGCACCGGTACCGATTGAGGTGGATTTTAGCTACCTAGCCGATACTAGACTGGAGTCTCCCAGTAAAGCCAGCTAGGCCAAATGAATGTCTTGCCTTTTTCAGTATGTTTCAAGGTCTTCCTGCTTTTGAAAGCCCGTTTGAGGTAAAAATGATGTCCGATCAAGCTGATTCTCAAACTATTGGAACCTTAGCGGAATTTCCTAGGGCTTAGTGTTGAAATTAGGGTCAACAATTGCCCCTTTGGAAGATCAAAACTAATCTTGATTCGAGCTTATGACCTTAATTTTTGGCTGTCTATTTAGAATGCTGGCTGGAAAATTGTACCTTGCAAGTCATGGCAATGTCTGGAATATCCTGTTAAAATCTTGTCTGATTTTGAGACCAT